CACTAGGGGATGACTGCTGTAGACCAGGTGAGAAACCAGGGGAGGGATGACCCACTAGGGGATGACTGCTGTAGACCAGGTGAGAAACCAGGGGAAGGATGACTCTCTAGTGATGACTTCAGGAGACCAGGTGAGAAACCAGGGGAGGGATGACGCTCTAGGGGATGAGGGATGATGCTCTAAGAGATGACTGCAGCAGGTGAGAGAAGATGGTAGGTGAGACGAGAGATTGCTCTTAGAGAGCCTGAGCTGACTTTAGAGATGTTAGTAGATAAACGGACGCAATGCCACGAGGAGCTGCATGGGAGGGCAGAGGGAGAGGGAGATTTCAAAGACGACTCTTAAGTTGCGGTCTTGAGCAGTGGAGGACTGTGAATCACAGAGAAAGACAAGTCTAGAGAGCCCTGGTTTGGAGAGAGAAGTTCACTCACTTGACTTTGGTTGCACTACTGAGATTTCAAAGAAAAATGTGCAGCAGTGAGGGCTCAGAGAGAACATTTGGGATGGCAAAATCACTCTATAAATCAAGGAAAGCTAAGGAATATCCAAAGCAAAACGTTTGAGGAAAAAAAATCCATAAAGTTAACAACATAATGAAAAATCTGAAAATAATTTTAAGTAAATGCAAAAAGAAGTAATAGGCCTACGTGAAGCTGTTCACGAAGTGAATGAGGGGCGGCGGGGGGGGGGGGTAGGACCAAATATTCAGCCTTTAGTAGTAACTCAAGCAGTAATTACTGTCTTGTAGCACATGGGGCTTGTAAGGAAGCGGTAGCCACAGTGTGGAAGGGGGAAGAAACTTCTCTCACAGAAGAGAATGTGCTGAGATGAAAGAAACAGGACTCAGGGATGGCTTGGGTGGAAAGGTGCAAGGTTAAGACCTGAGTTTAGATTCCTGGAACCCAGGCAGAGTTGGTTTGCATAATGAATGTCTACAATCCCAGAGTGTTTACTGTGAGATGGGAGGTGGAGGTGGGAGGCATTGACAGGAGAAGCCCAGGAGCTTCTGGGCCAGCTGGTCTGGTGTGCACAGTGGAGAAGAGGAGACTCTGTCTCACACAAGGTAGAAGTAAGGACTGATCCCTGAGACTGTCCTCTTCCTGTGTTGTAGACACAGGCATGGCCACAAGTGGACGCATGTGCACATACTTAGAAACATACGATTTTAAAATAGGAAGAAATTATGTATGAAGATGTCACAATGAAACCCACTACTTGTTTGCTAGCTTGAAACATTTAAAAATACAGAGTTTCAAACAAAAAGAGCAGGCGGAAGAGTGACTGGACAAAGTCCATTAGATTCTGTGGCCATCACGTCAAGCTGGAGAACTGGGAAGCCTGTACTCAAGGGGCTGATAAGCAGATCTCCAGTGATAAATGGATTATTATTTTAATGTGTATTTTTAAATATTTTAAAATTAAAATTTAATTACATAATTTCCCCATTCTTTGTTCTCCTTCTCACTCCTTCTATTTAACTTCTTATCACCCCCTTTCAAATTCACGGCCTCTTTGAATTTTTGCCATGTGCTCTTTAGATTCAGAATTTTTATGTGTGTGTGTGTGTGTGTGTGTGTGTGTGTGTGTGTGTGTGTGAAAGAATGTCTGTGGAGGTCAGAAACAGCTTTGGGACATTGCTTTTCTTTTACTGTGTGAGTCCTTGGGATCAAGTACAGACTGCCAGTCTTGGTGACAAGGGCTTTTATCTGATGAGCCACCTCACTGGTCCTGATAAGTTGAAGGCCATAAATTTTCAGCAAGCAGCACTTCATCTGTATATAGCATTTGCTTGTAATATGTCCAACTGGAATGATTGAAATGATGAGAGTTTTGGCAAAAACATCACGCGGACCTCAAGAAGAGTAGCAATCCCTATGAATAATAAAATATAATTTGAAAATTGCTCTGAGGATAGAACACTTCAGGTCATGATTATGTCTCCTAAATTTTGCAAAATGTAGTAATAACTTGTCTAATCACTTCTAATACTTAGGTATACATCAAGAAAAAAAAATAGTCTACCAAGTGTTTCTCGGGAGGAGAAGATGGATATGGCAACCAGAATTAATGTTATTAGGAAGATCCAACCCAAATCAGCATTGCAAACCAGAAGCATTGAAGAAAACCATTTTCGGGCATTGTTTGTTTTCACGTGCTTCTGGACTTCCTGATTCTGGCCGGGAACAAGGTCAAGCTTGCCAAAATACTACAAGAAAAGATGTTGATGATCACGGATAGGAAATACTCCCGGTCCCAGGAGATGGCCCATTCTTAGGAGACTTCCACACCAAGTCTGCCGCCATGAGAAGGCACATCGGGCCACCACATTCACTCTTGGTTCAGCACCAGGAAGCATCGGAGGTTCTGCATTCCAGACCTCTGTGGCAGCAGCTGGGATCCTTTGAAGCGCCAAGTGTTGTTCATTTGTTTTGTTTGTTTTTCGGAAAGGAAACAGATGGAAAAAAACCAGACTTGGTAGGGAAGTGGTGGAATCCATCATATTATATCCACGTTATAGAACATCGTGTTGTTATTAAAAACAGTAACTGATATTTCCGTAGTAATAGCTATTGCTTACTGTGCCTTCAAGTTGTGAGCTGGGTAGTGTTTGAAGTATTTTCCACGAATGAGCTCATTTAATTCCTTAATAACTCCCTCAGATAAATACTAATCTCAGGACCGTGCCGCGAGAGACAGAGATGGGAAATTTCTTTGCCCGTGGGTAGCGAGCATGAAGCCAGATGTGAAACCAAAGGGACTAGACTGGCAGCTTGTGCCTTTAGCTAATGGGAACAATCCCTGTTCAGAGACGCCTTGACCTGAAGTGAGAGCTGAGAGTCATTGTTAAAGAAGGTTGAGATAATATAGTATGCAAAAACTGTATCTCAAAAGAACTAGCTTAACGGGCCTGAAGAGATGCTTATTACCTGTGCTCTTATCCATTCTGGGCTTAGTTAAATCTCATGTTTTGTTCGGTAGGAACAGTAAGATCTGCCTTTCTACCTCATAGGAGGTAGAAATCAAGTGAACTTGCACAGATTAAATGCTTTTCCAATGATTTCACAATAAAGCTTTTTTTTTGTTTAAGAACATTCTTATTAATATTGTCATAGAAATATCAAACATATAACATAAAAATTCCATTGAATCTTCTGCTTTGTATATAAAGTAAATAATACTATTATTGGTGTTATCATAAAAGTCCAGGGCAGTGCTTTAAAAGCAAGAACATTATTCTTTGATACACAATTAAACATTGTGTGAATTAGAGGGTCTTATAATCAATTGTGTTTGCAAAATATGGAGGCTTAACAAAATTAATATTTTTTCCAGTTGTAGGTTTTCTGGGATTCTTCAGTATGTTAATGTACAGTACATATCCAAGCATGTGAGATCAAACAGCATTTCCCAAATATGTTTTTTCATGAAACATATTTTCTGAGTATATTTTGAGATGACTGTTTGGGGGTAGGTAGTTAGGAATACACTGTTTTCTGGGATGTGAGGTGTTGTGAGTGTGTGTGTGTGTGTGTGTGTGAGTGTATGATGTTTAAAGCAAAATCTTAGTATAGGGAGGAGCTTAGAGAACCCTAGCTTTATTTCACTGGTACCCTCACTCCTGGTATTCTTATGCTGTATGATTAAGTTTATGTATCAGGTTTTAATGGGGGGGGTGCTGCATACGAATTGGATGCTCGTGTATTTATTCCTCAAACACGTTTTTAGTTGTTTGCCGTGTTCCAGGTCCTGTTATGGACTCTGAGAATACATCAGCTAATGAAATAGACAAAACGTGCCTGCCCTTAAGGGGCTGAGATTGCCTGAATCTAGAGAGAAGGACTGTTAATAAATAAAAAACATCCAGTAAGCTGCCTTCTTTTGGGAAGTCATGCAATGCCCGAAGATGAAACAGTGGGGGAGAGATGAGCCGGGGCACGGTGGACCCCACAATGCCCGGGAGATGTCCGGCTGCAGTTCGCATAGGGTGGGGTCTAAGAAGGTCAACCTGAGGTGACCTGAAGCATAGATTTGAATGAAGTGTGTGAGGATCCCTGAAACTGTCTGGGATGACCGTACCAGGCTTATAGAATGGATGCAAGACTATAAGAAAGTACCTTGTACATTCTGAAAATAGCAAAGTGGCCAGCAGGCTAAGGCAAAGAAAGAAGTGTGTGTGTGTGTGTGTGTGTGTGTGTGTGTGTGTGTGTGTGTGTGTGTGTTGATAAACAGAAGGAGATAGAGGCGAGATAACAAGTAAGGAATAAGAGGTGCCAAGTCTGAACAGATATTTATTTATTCCTGTCCCAGTTACCTTTTCCTACACAGCACAGGTTCAGCAGTCCAGGCATGGTACTACTCACAGTAGGCTGGGCCCTCCTTCATCATTTAGCAATCAAGAAAATGACCACAGATAATGTCCACAGGGCAATCTGATCCACATCATTCTTAGAGATTCCCTCTGCCCAGATGTGTCAAGTTGACCGACCCCCAAACTAATCAGGACACCTCCCCACATTCACGTTGAAGGGTAATATACCTTGTGGTGGCATCATGGCATGGGACCTTTTGGGAAGGGACTAATTCATGAAGGCAGAGCCCTGAGCAAGTAACCTTGTAAAAGAAGTTAAAGAAGCTACCTGGCCCCTTGAGCACACATGGGACTACATAGAAGGTGCCATCCGAGGAGGCAGAGAGGCCTCACCAGACACCGTCTGTGGGTGCCTTGACCGTGGACCTTCCAGCCTCCAGAACTTTGGGGAACACTCCTGTTTCCGTTCTTGCTCATTGTTGTGGCTGGAACGTGAAACGTCCCCCGGGGCTCATGTGTTTGAACAGTTTGGTCCCCAGCTGTTGGTCCTGTTTGGGAAGGTTGTGGAACCTTTAAGAGGTGGAGCCTGGCTAGTGGAAGTGGATCACTGAGGGTCTGTCACAGCCTCCACTCCCTTCCCTGACCAGTGACAGGCACAGCCAGCCTACTGTCCCAGCGGCCATGCCTTCCCCGCTATGATGAGATGTTTCCCCAGGAACTGTAAACCAGAATGAACCTTTTTCTCCATGAAACTGCCTCCTGCTCTTTTGTCACACCATCAGAAAGTGGCTAAGAAGCTCCGTTACTGTCGGAATGGACAAAGCCTGAATGGAGAAAGAGACGCGAGGGCGTGGCAGATAGGTGAGGATTCCGAATGAGGTGGGAAGACACAAAAGAATTTTGAGAAAGTGTGACCTGCAAAGCTTTTAGAGACTGGGGCTGGCTGTTCTGTTGAGAAGGGATTATTAAAGTGTTCTCTACAAGTAAGAGATCTCCTAAGGAATATGTTACCTTGTCTCTTCTCTTATTCGGACCTTACACTGAATGTCTTATTTTATTGATGTCAGGTCCAGTGAGTTAGCGGGGCTGGATATGTGTCCTTTCTCTCTCTCTTCTCTACCCTTTCAAGTGGTTTCCTCATTAAATGGTTACACACTCTCCCGAGGACTGAGTGAATGCAGAGACCCCGGGAAAAGGGTCATTTTCCTGGCTACAAAGAGGAAGGGAGAGAGTGGATTATAGCCCATGGGACCATGGATTAACTTCACTCATCCACATTGTTTATCACTTTGTAAGTATGCAGAAGACAAATACAAATGTATAAACAATGTTAACTGAATGATTACCCACCACAATAAATTTGTCTTTTGGAGTTTTCTGTCCTTATCAAGTAGCTGCATATCCTTTTAGAATCAGTTTTAATGAATTCATATGTACATTATCTTGATTTTTTTTTTTATAAAACATGACATTTCATTTTGGGTGAACTGCCCCATACCATTCCACCCTATTTGACTAAGGAACCCAGAAATTCTCCAAATTTAAGTCCAATTACATGGTTTTAAACTGTTTGAATTTGAGAACTAAACCTGACTGAATTTGAGAAAAAAAGCATTCCAAATATATTAAAATGTTTATTTTGCAGATGAAAAGCGATATTGTTTATTCTGTTAATGTTCATTGAATAGCTTTATGAGTCTATTATACTCATGAATCTTATTATTAGAGATTAATATCACTATGAGCAACATAGTATAATGATTTTGTGCTAGCAGATGATATCCTGGAGACAGTTTCTTACAGTGCCGACTATTTTTTTTTCATATTTGATATTGCTGCTAATAGCTCTACTACTGCATGTATCATTGTGACTGTCGGCAATTTATAATCTTTCTAATACTTGGTGTGTACAATCTCTTTTCAATCAGATACTCTGATTTAATCGGTCAGGAGTGAATTTCTATAGCTTTCCCAGTGACTTTGGTGGGGAGATGTTATTGAGAACCACTGATGCACAACCCACACAAATTTTAAAGGGCACCCCCCAAACCATCCACCCCAGCAGGAAGACTACAGGAGGTCACGACAAATGTGTGTGCTGTGCCATCTTCAGCTTCGAGTTCTGTCTTAGAATCTAGGCACTTGGTATGGGGGACCTGGTTCTAACGGCCCTCATGAGTTAGGGGAAGCTGTGTGGAATAAACTGACTTGCAGAAGCACTTTTAAGAGGAAGAGGTGATGAAAATGTAAAGTGCCAAGAGAAAGGCCAGAGGAACAAACAGAGAAACAGTGGCCAGGCAGTTTGTCTGGTGGGAGCGACTTTGGGAGCGAAGGAGTGGCAGACAGAGACGGGAAGGGTAAGTCATCTGTGGTGGAGGACCAAGTCTGGGCCTGGTAAGTAGAAGCCCAGCTGTGGAGCGGAACTCAGGGCTCTCCACGTGTGGCCCGTTCGGAGGGATTGTGGCTGGCACACGTTTCCTCGAATTGGCCAAACCTAAGCTGAGGGAGGGCTTAAGCGATGGCTATCCCTCCTCACACGGTAACAATAAATAAAATGGCCTCCTGTTGAAATGTATTTACTGAGAAGATTAAAAACACAGTAAGGCACAAGAATGGTGCATGTCGTTTACTATAAAGAAGTCACAATTCAGATTCGGAGGGAACTCGGGTAAAGTCGGGAAGCCTAACATCAGCATAGCACATGTGAGACCATTTCAGAAGGATGCCATCCTTTCAAATAAAAGGATGTAGCCTCCAAATTCATGAGAAGAACTTGGCTTGTCGCACACCCTTACTATGGGTTCCTGACTTAACTGGATTCTTCCTGGGTATTGTATTTTCTGGAATTTTTTGCATAGCTGTCCTCCCCAGACACTGAAGTTCTACACAAGTTTACCTTTCCTCATGGCCCTGCAGAAACACCCCTGTTAGTCTACCTAATGGCGGACACCATCCTGATGGCGCTCCTGCCACTGTCTAGTGGAGGACACCATCCTGATGGCGTCCCTGCCCTACTTAATGGAGGACACCATCATGATGGTATCTCAGGTAATATAAAATGAACTGTCACATTTGGATCATTTGAGGTTAATACTAACACATCAGTGTCTTACAGTATCTCAGAGGGCCTCTGAGGTCACTAGCAATCACTGTATATATCACTAAAGATGGACAGTGTGGAAAAATAATGGCTAGGTGGTATGAATATGCCTGTGGTTGGGCAGAATATTTGTAGTTCACTTTGAACAACTGAAGGTCTCTTCTTAACAATAGAGATAGAAAATTGGGATGAGGAACATACACAAACACACACACACATGTAGACACAATTTAGAATGTGAATCTTTGAGGGTAAGGGTTCTAAGTGTAATAAATATATTCCGTAATGTGAAATGTCCAATAAATATTTTGCCATTTTATTTTACCCTGGCACCTTTCCCACTTGGGAATATGCCCTACGTAAAGATGCATAAAATGTTCACTTTGGCACACTCGTTTGCATTCATTTCTTGTTTCCCGGCATTCAGAAAAATCTACAATAGTGTCAACATAACATTCTCATTATGCTTCTCAACTTCCCCGTTCATTTACTTGGCTTTATGCGAAAATAATATTCAAAAGATGGTCCCAAAGAAAATACCTTGGGTACCAGGTACAATTGAATCTTTCTCTGAGAAGGGAGCCGGGGAAATGGACCAACTTGCAGGAGGTAGGAGCGCTTGTTTGCATACTCCTCCCTTTTCTCCATTTTTAAGAGCGTG